CTCATAAAATGTAAACTCTGCTTAAATAGGCAGCCCACTTTTGTTCATTGGAACTGAGCTATAAGTGAGTAGAGCTTAGTTTGATTTTTCCCCCCTTTGTTCTTTGCCTCTCCAAAGACAATAAATGTTGGTTAAATAAACACATTGACCTGAGGACTCCATGTTGGTGTTTCATTAAAAAAACAAAGGTTAAAATATTATCACATCATCTAAGTAATATGATTTAAAAAATGATTGTTTAAAGCATTTTCATCAAAATTTAATATGTATTGATAACCCACTACATGCCAAGGTAATATAAAGCTTGCCAAAGACAAAATTGATCAAGAAGTTTATAAAGAACCCAAATGATACTAATTGTCTAAAATAAGTAAGGTCACCCTGGCTGGGTGGGTCAGTTGGTTGGAGTTTTGTCCTGTGCACCAAAAGGTTGTGGGTTCGATCCCTAGTCGGGGCATGTACAGGAGGCAACTGATTGATGTCTCCCCTACCCCGCCTCCCTGCGCTGACACTTGAAATCAGTAAACACCTTTGGGTGAGGATTAAAAAAAAAAAAATAAGTAGGGGCATTTTTCTAAACTTAAACAAAAAAGAAATCAATTAACTAGCTGCTCCAAATGTTCCTTACTTGAGTTCCAAATGCTACACTCACTAATACCAAAATGCTTATGTATGTAAGATACATATTTTCATGTCTATAAGACACAGGAATATATTTTTAGGCTCAGCCACACTTATTTTAAAAGTATTTTACTGAATCAGAAAATACAGCGTTTTTGTTTTTTTTTAAACAAATCTAAATCTCAATTCACAGTACAGACAGTAATGGCTATATTGCTTCACAGTTCAATAACGTGTAGGCCCTGAGAATTAGTAGGAGCTGTTCCGTGAGTGCACATTTAGCTAACTGCACTGGTTCCACGGGGCATCATTAAGAACACTGTGTCTTGGATCAAAACATTTGCTGTCTTCGGACCCCCATTTATTTTTTACTCTCATTGAATAAAAATAGCGCTCACAATTTTAAAACTATGTTTAAACACCACAAATGTTATGACAGAACTGAGAAGCATTAGAAAGCCTATATGAGAAGACCTTCCTACTTGCCACAGACTCACCCAGGAAATGGCAAAACTGAATTGTGAAACTAGCACATGACTAGGAATTTGAATGACTCCAGTGAAACAGAGCCTCCCTGGACTGAAATGAAGGCTTTCCTCACCAATGAACAGCGGGACCTGTTTTAGTCAACTGTGCGGCCGACTAAAATTCATCCTGCTTCCTCCAACATGCAAACTTCAATCCTTAATTGGCATACCCACAGTGAACCTCTTTCTGGCACGTAAAAAACATAAATTGTTCCTGTTGGAGAAGCATTTGGCAAAGTTGCTCACTTGTCAATTTCCTTATCTGTCAAATAAATAAATTCATTTGCATTTTCAATCACTGTGGTGGTTTTATCTTTTCCTTCAACAAATTTAAAGTGGAAGTTACAACAACTGTAGTGGGCCTTATCATATTTTCATGCCCATTTTGTCCCTCAAAAACATGGTTTATTATTTGTTATAATTTGCTATTTCCAACACAATATGCTCACCCTTATATTTCTATTGGTTTCTCATTTGAAAATGTCAAATAAAAAAAGGAAGTTATGGGAAAACCTTGTCCCCCAAATCTTGTCCCCAAATCCCAAATGCATGAGAAGACAGAAAATTGTAACAAAATAAGTTTAATGAACTTCTGAAGAGTCTATAAGAAATATCTTCACACAGAAAGGAATAGTGATGACACTAAACTATAATGGAACACTTTTAATATAGTATAAATGATCATTACAGGGATGTTATAACATTAAGTGTCTTTATTCAAAATTTAAAAAATTTAAATAGAAGAAACTAGAATTTCTAATTAGTTTCCTCTACTTTTTTCCTAGCTTCAAATCCACACCCCTGAGTCCTAAATTCCCCTTGCTTGACTTCTATATAGGTGTTATTGTCCTGAGCAAATGTCACCTCCTCTCTGCTATGCTGTTTCCAGACCAGGCTCAGAATTCTGGCTTAATCAATTGTCCCTCCATCCAGGTTCTCAAAGTATGTCATACTCACTTTTAATACAGCATTTGTCATGCTGTATTTTAGTTAATTACATACATGTCTGCTGTTCTAATAGAATTCTGTTTTGCAGAAGCACAGGCTCTGTCTGATTTACCTTTGGATCCCTCAGAGCACCTGACATAGCTCCTGGTAAGTATTGTCTGGTGATCATTAAATATGCTTCCACAATATGATATTTTATTAGGAGACAGTATGTGATGCGCTACATTTTCTTAAGCCCTGTAATTCCACTGGTGATGTCCTACCTGAAATCCATATATTAATGTGTATGATATGTGTGCACGTTTACAAGCCTGAAATTCAAAAGTACCATAATTTCTAATTAAGAAATGGCATGTACCCAGCAAACTTCTCATGTTGCATAAATGATTATATTCAATGACAGAAATATAAACAAAATCATAATTTAAAAATCTGGTACTTTTTTGTTAAAAATATTAATAGAATCCAGGCTACAGAGAAATCTTTTGACAGGTAAATGAGTAAATTAATGAATAACTGAGTGATTCTTAGGCTTCAAATATACTATACTATTCCTTACTGATATAATTTACCATGATATAAATTCTAATTTCTGCCTTATTTGGCTTAAAATAGTTTAAAGTATTCATATGTGTAATTAACCACAGTATGTTTGACCAGAGAAGAAGAAGGGAAATGATCTAAAAAGTAGATTATAAATATTCTCTATAAATTTACAGTGTTACACCAGGGACAAATAGTGAGTTTTGGATTTTGATTGATCTAGGTTCAAATCTTAGCTGAGTCACTTAATGGTTGGTGATCTTGGTAAAAGTTCCTCAACCTTTACAATACAGATTATATCCAACTTATTGTTAAGATTAAATAAAACAAAGGATGTAAAGTTATAGGTACAATGGCTGTAATACTGAAGGCACCTCACTAATTCAGCTCTTCTAGCTATTATATCTCTTTCTCTGTCGAATTCTGGATTTGGGGCTTGAGTAGCCTTTGTCCCAGAAAGGAGTGATGAAGAATTTACTAGAGCTAATAAAATCCTAGCTAGGCTTGAAGGTGTCTTATATTCTGGCCAAGTCAATGGAGGTAACTTAGCTTATGCAACAGCTCAGAGAGGTAGACACAAAAACAAAACAAAATCAACCTTGATGAGAAGCAAAGTAGGCAAGAGGTTGAGCGGTGACATGTTGTTTTCTTTTTTACTTCCCTGTATTAGCCAGAAACCAAGTAGCTCATTCTTTAGTTACTCACACAGATTCATAGTCTTTCAGAATTTAAAAAATTTCTAGTAATATTGGCTTTACTAATAGGGAAACTGAGGCTTACGGGCAAAATACCTTGTCTGAGGTTCAATAGCCAGTTGGAGGTAGATCTGAGACAGGAGCCCACTTTCCTGACACTTATTCCAATACTCTTTCTTCTGAGCAGTCACACCTCTCCTTACTTGCTCAGATGACGAGGGTGAGATCAGCGAGGACGCCAAACTTCCAAACCCAATACTGCAGAAACCTTCCAAAGATATACATGCACCAGAAAATATTCACAGGGAATGCACACCTTTTATTTCGAGGTAGGGTTTACTGTCCTCCCTCTCATTCCCATCTCCTTTCTTGCCCTAGTGTTTGAGGCTGGCTGTTGCGTGACTCTCGAGAACTCTTACTCTCCCTTTGGTCAAATGTCTGGATAAGAACCAAGCCAGGGGGTATGCTCTGTGTTCACTTCCCATGGGTCCCCTTCGGTCATGCTTGGCCTTCTAAGACAAGTAGGCATTGCAAGCAGGAGACAGCCATGTCCAGATCATTCCATTAGCCTCCACACATGGACTGAGCCCAGGTATCAGTCACAACCATTAATAACAGTAGCCACCGTCATCTTATAAGTGCCTACTATATAATTGCTACTATGCAAGTAGCAATATGCTGGGTGATTCACATATATTTACTCCTTTAATCCTCATATAACCTGTAGGGTAGGACTTACTATCTTCATTTTATAGATTTATAGATGAGAAAGCTTAGGTCAAGTGATATACCTAAGGTTATGCAATTCAGTGGCAGAACTGGGTTTCAAACCCAGACTTCATGTTTTCAATAGTTACGACATTAGCCGTTTTCCTTGGAAGAGAGATCAAAGAGTGTTGCCACCAGGTAAGGGTTCTTTATAGCAAATTTACTCCATTTGCTAAAAGTTACATATTCTACTAAGGAAGCCCAATTGCGCATCAATAAATACATTATTTTTCTGTGTGAAAGATTATATGTAGATGAAGGGGAAAGACTTGAATTCCTCCTAAAAGTTACGGTTCGCCCTTTACTGTGACAAAAATTTATTATTCTTTATTCAGAAAGGACTCTATCTTTACCTGTACACTGCTTTTCTGAAAGGCCCAGGAGCTCCTGTTAAATCTTGATTTTCTTTTTAAAAATCATACGGAGGGGAAATAGTGTTTCTTATGCTTCTTTTTAAATGAGTATGGGAAGAAACAGGTCAAAGAAATGTGTAAGCAAATATCCTCTCACGCTCTCTCCGTGTGTTGTGTGTCCGTACGTGCATGCATGTGTATGAATTATGTAAATGTCCACATTCTCTCACTAAAGCACTTCGTTCTGCGTCACTGAAGCTAACACTCCGTAATTTCATATGACATCTGTACATGCCAGCTAATGGGCTGAGTTCTGTAAGTTTTGTGTGGAATGAGACGACTCTGCTCTCAAGGAGCAATGTCTGTAAACCCATATAAATAGTAATTTACCACAGGAAATAAACTTTCATGTACATTAACATTTTTTTCTTAGTTCCAGGAAAGAAGTCACCTATGCCTAGAGGACAGTGACATTAATTGTATCAATTACAACTATTTATAACATACACATGACCATTTTCCTCAGCATGGCCCATCTTACCTGATCTTCTGGTGGTACTGATAAAGAATTCTGTATTGTGATGTGTTTGACTTGAATAGTAACTTCCCTAAAAATAAGCAAACACAAATAATAATTAGAAAATAATTTGAGATGCCAAGTTAATACATATGAAAACATAAGTTATAAGCTTTTAAAAAAGTCTTTCTACTTATAACTATATAAGTAACAAGGGATTGGGCCCAGGGGTGTCCAACCCACGGCCCACGGGCCACATGCAGCCCAGGATGGCTTTGAATGTGGCCCAACACAAAATCATAAATTTACTTAAAACCTTTTTTTTTTTTTTTTGCTCCTCCGTTTTTGTTAGTGTTTGTGTATTTAATGTGTGACTCAAGACAACTCTTCTTCCAGCGTGGCCCGGAGACGCCAAAAGGTTGGACACCCCTGGCACTAAACCATTCAGAAAGTGGTGTTTTTATTTCACTCTAATTTTTATACAGGCAGCTTTTTTTCTGAAGGTACTGGCGTGGGCCTGGGGAGGGAGGCAACACCAAACGGAGAGATGGACTTTTATCTGCATCTCTGGCCTCACAGGAGCAGGGCAATGTGCAAGCAGACAGGGTGAAGGTTTCCCTGAAAGCGCCCCTGCCTGATAGCTGTGTCATACAGTGTGTTTAAGAAGAAATAACTACAATGTTTAATGGTACATGTAAAAGTAGCATAACTGCAATATAATCATTTGATGAAATATAATTCAGTCATTAAAATGTGATTATGAAGATTATGTAGTAATATGAAAATGTTGATGATATAATGCATTGGATGAACATAGTAAATGATATATACACTAGGATTATACCTATATTAAAAAAAAATACAAAGGCTTAGAAAAACTCACGACAGGAAATATGTTAATAAGTACATTGGCAATGTGTTTGGTGATGAAATTACAGATCTTTCCCCCTCCATTTTCGCTATTTTTCAAATTGCTTATAATATGGCATTCTATATTAATAAACTACTTGAATATAAATATATTACAAAATACTTGAAAAATATAGGTAAATATTTTTATAAGCCTTCACAGAAGTGTTTTTAAGCATGACACCAATGACAGAAACCATTAGAGTAGAAACTGATGAATTTTTCTACTTAAAATTTTAAATGTTTTTTCAATAGGAAATTAGACAAAATTAAAAAGCATGACTTCTGCTTCCAGCCAAGACTGAGTAAGAGAGACCATATATTACCAACTGCCTGAAACAACCAAGACATACCTAAAGTATATGAAACAATGTTTAAACGCTGGGCATCAGGTCACAAAAAACTGGTCTAGACACAGGAAACAAATGAGATGAACCAACCCTATGACTGCACTGCAGGAAGGGAAACCCTGGTGGACATTCCCAGAGAAATGGAGGAAAGAGGACATGAAGGGAGGCCGAAGGAGAAAGATAGAAGGAGGGAGGGAAAGATGAAGGGAGGGAAGGAGGGAGAGAGGGAGGAAGGGAGATAGATATGGAGAGAGAAAGGGGGAAGGTAGGAAAAGAAAAGAGAAAAGAGAGAAAAAAGAAGGAAAACAATGAAAAGGGTTTCCATTGAGTATTCACTTGTGTACTGATCAGCACATGCAAGTAAGGGAATCATCTAAGGCCAAGGTACTCAGCACTCACAGAAGGACAGTAATATTGCCTGCTCCTACTAGCCAGACTGAAAAAATGCCTATGGATCAAAGATGAAATAAAAAAAAAAATTCCTGGGTTGGCCAGAAAGTTTATTCAGTTTTCCTCCGTAAGATGACTAGATGACTCTAGTAGTGCTTAGATGTGTTTAACTTCATTTGAAACAATTTTGTTAGATTGTATTATGACAGCTATCATATCAGCATGCATTTAAAAAAAACTTAGCAAAATTGGTGAATTTTTGTGTATCCATTTTAATATGAAAGATGGAAGAAAATAAGCAACATTTTTGGTGTACTGTGCTTCATTGTTTCAATAAAGGTAAAAACGAATGGAAACGCAAAAGAAAAGATTTGTGTAGCATCATGGAGAAGGTGCTGTGACTGACTGAACATGTCAAAAGTGGTTTCCAAAGTTTTGTGCTGGAGATTTTGCACTGGATGATGCTCCGCAGTTGAGCAGACCAGTTGAAGTTGACAGTCATCTAAAGGAAACATTAATTGAGGACAATCAACATTATGCCACATAGGAGGTAGCCTATATACTCGAAATATCCAAACCAATAAAATCATTGGTGAAAATGAAAAATATGTCTTTTATTTTACAGAAAAAATCCATACAGACTTTTTGGCAAACCCAAGAGAATGTGTTTTGAACTGAATGAAATGCAAACTCAACATACCAAAATTCATGTGACTCCATGAAAGTAGTACACATTGGGAAGAGCCCTACGCATTCATCTATATTAGAAAGGAAGGTAAGTCTCAAGTCAACTACCTCAGTTTTCACCTTAAAAACTAAAGAAACCACATTTAACTCAAAGTAAGTAGAAGAAAATAAGAGATCAAACAGGAAATGAGTGAAATGGACAACAGAAAAAAATAGATACAAATTAATTAAATGCAAAGCAGATTCTTGAGAGTATCAATAAAACTGATAAACTTTTAGCTCAATTGATTAGAAAAAAGAAGATACAAATGACCAATATCAGGAATGAGAGAGGTGACATCATTATAGATACTACAGTTATCAGAAAGGTAACAAGGGATCATCATAAACAACATTTTGGCAATAAATTTGATAATTTAAATGAAATGGACAATTTCCCTAAAAGACACAAACTATGAAAATTTACTCAAGTGAGCACCATTTTTCAAATACATTGAATTTTTAATTAAAAATCTTTCCTTAAAGACAACTCTAGGACCAGATGGTTTCTTTTGTTCTACCAAATATTTAAGAAAGAAACAGTACCAATTATATACAAATTGAGAAGGAAGGAGTTCCAAATATTTAATTCTAAGAGGCCAGCACTACCCAGCTACCAAAACTAGACAAAAAGCCCCTAGAAGGGAAGAAACCTCCAGACATATCCCTTATAATATAAGTTATAAATACATTTTTTAGCAAATCAAATCCATAAATATAACATATCCTGACCATGTACAGTTATCCCAGGAATGCACATTTGGTTTAACATTCAAAGTCTATGTAAATCACTGTATTAACAAACTAAAAAAGAAAACCCGACAATCATTTGAATATAGAAAATGTGTTTGATATAATACAACATCCATTCCTGACTTGAAAATAAATTTTTAGAAAACTAAGTATAAAGGAGCTTCCTCAAACTGGTAAATGACATCTATGAGAAATCTACGGGTAATATCATACTAAAGACTGAGTGCATTCCCTCTAAGTTTACAAACAAGAGAAAGATATACACAATCACCAGTTCTATTCAATATTTTATTGAAACTTTTAGCCAGTTCAATGAAGCAAAAATGAATAAAATGCATCCAGATTGGTAAATAAGACATAAACTGTCTTTATTTGCAGATGGCATGATTGTCTATGTAGAAAAGTAAATGGATTCTACAAAAATAACTAATAAGTGAGTTTAACAAGGTTGCAGAATACAAGATCAATGTACAAAAATCAATTATATTTCATATGCCATTAACAACCAGATATTGAAATAAAAAAATTAAGTTTAAAATATTATTTGTTACAGCATTAAAAATATGAATTAAAGGTAAATCTGACAAAAGGCGTGAAAGAACTATACACTAAAAAATACAATACACCAACGAGAAGATTTTTTTTAAAACACTAAATAAATGGAGAGGTATATTGCTATGTTTTTAGAAGACTCAACAGTGTTAAAATGACAATTTTCTGCAAATGCTAGACTTACACAGTCAACGTAATCCAAGTTAAAAATCTCAGTAGACATTTTGTAGAAATCAAGCAATTTATTCTTAACTCACATAGAAATTTAAAAAACTTAGAATAGTCAAATTTATTTTATTGATTAACTAATCAATTGTCTTTACAGTTGCCCCCACTTTTCCCCCTTTGCCGGCCTACGCCCAGCCCCCCACCCCCACCCCAGGCAATCCTCACACCTCTGAGCGTCCTGTGGTCAGGCAAGTTTGTTCTTTGGCTAATCCCCTCACCTGCTTTCATCCAGTTCCTCCTCCTCCCTCCCCTCTGACAGCTGTCAGCGTGCTCCATATACTCATGCCTGTTTCTATTTTGTTCATTTGTTTTGTTCATTAGACTCCACATATAAGTGAAATCATATGGTGTTTGTCTTTCATTTCAATTCATTTTTAAAGAGAAGAAAAAAATTGAAAGATAATACTACTTCAGTTTCATGCTTTACTAAAAAGTTAAAACTTTCAAGACAGTGTGGTATTGGTGTAAAGATGGACAAATAGATCAATGGAACAGACCTGACGGTCCAGAAATAAACCCACACATATATGGCCCACTGATTTTTCATGAAGTTCGTGTGAAGGGAAATCAATAAAGAAAAAATAGTCACTTCAACAAATGGTGCCAGGACTACTGGATATCCATATGTAAACAACAATAAACAAACACAAAAGGTATCATACACCTAAATATAACACCTAAAACTATAAAATTTCTATAAGGAAACATTATGTCCTTACATCAGGCAAAAAAATCTTAGAACATCTAAAGCATAATCCATAAAATAACTAATAACTGGACTCCAAAGTTAAAAGTTTCTGTTCTTCAAAAGACACTGTTAAGAGAATGAAAAGACAAGCCACAGAATGGGAGAAAATAATTGCATAAAATAAACATAATAAATTATACCCAGAATACTCTTAAAACTCATTAAGAAAACAAACAATGCGATTTTCAAAATGGGCAAAAAATCTGAAGATATAGTTCACCAAAAAGATACGGCTTGCAAATAATGACATCAAAAGATGCTTAACATCATTAGTTATTAAAGAAATGTAAATTAAAACCACAAAGAGATATGGTTGTATACCTATCGGAATGGCTAAAATTGAATAAAACAGTTGATATCAAATATTGATAGGGATGTAGAGGCAGTGGAAGTCTTACGCATGCTGGTGATAATGCAAAACGATATAATTTGAAA